TTTCATTTTGTACGCACAGAGTGCATTCAAAACAAAATATTGTTGCATATAGCTTACAGCATTTAAAAAGGTTGCAGTTGGAGTTAGATAAACGTTACCAATATAAAGTGCAGCAGTGATCAGAATGTACACAATGTAGGAAATAAAAGAAAACAGTTTAAATAATGGGCATTGATATGAAAAAGTTCAGTGCGTGCAAAAATAAATATCGTGCAAAATGCAGCAGAACATTTAAGTTGTGTCCTATTTAAAGGGATTATAACTGTTCAGCACGTTGGTAGTGCAAAATCATGATTTAACTGTGATGCAGAGTTCAGTCTAGAGTTTAAAAAACTGTTGCTGTAGAGGTGGTCAGCAGCACCAAATTCCTGGGGGTGCACATCACAGACAACCTCAGCTGGACTGTAAACACCACCTCACTGGTCACTACTGTAAGCTGTTTATTCACTGTTGAAAAGCTGTTTGCATCGAAATTTTGTTTTGTTTATACTCTGTGTATACAAAATGACAATAAAGTTTGTCTTAGTCTAAGTCAGATGTGTCAAGCATTAACTAGCCCTTGTGATGCTGGAGGACATAGGGACCACTTTCCCTCTTTATGAAATTCCATTGATATTCTTTACTTTTGCTTTATCTGTTATTTACATTATTAACTTTATGCTGCTTTTTCTTGTCATAGTAACCACATCAAGCCTGGCACTCTGCGTAGTTGTTACACCATCCTGGAGGGAGGCAGCAGCCCTGCTGCTGCTTTCAATTACCCTCAGGTATAGATGATACAGTTCCGCCTGTTTTTCCATTTCTTAGTCCTGTTTCTGTCCTAGACATAGCTATTGGCTAAGCTTTTAGTGTGACTAGGACAAAGCAATAAATGAATATCATTATATATTGATTTATGCATAGACACTTGATCAAATATCAATAGAAAATGCATCCAATTAAATTTTAATAATTCCACTGTACTTAGATTCAGAACCCCAGGGCATTTTAGGGTATATTTGCAGAGGAACTAGTTTAGCCTCTCGACCTCTCAGGGCTAAACAAGGCAAGGTTGGTAGTAAGACCAACCTATATTTGTAGATCAAAAGTTATGTTTAAATACAGGGTGTGAAATAAGTATTGAACATGCTGCAGCCAGAGTTTTGATGAAAATGAAAAAGAGAGATCATATTCCTATCCTGGCTTCTCTTCATTGGCTTCCTGTTAAATCCAGAATAGAATTTAAAATCCTCCTTCTCACATATAAAGCCTTAAATGGCCAAGCTCCATCTTATATCATAGATATGAATGTTCTTTATGTTCGAGCGAAGTGCTCTAACAGAGGTCTGCAGGTTTACTAGTGGTTCCTAGAATTTCTAAAAATAGAATGGGAGGCAGATCTTTTATTTATCAGGCTCCTCTCCTGTGGAACCAACTACCAGTTTTAGTCCATGAGGCAGACACCCTGTCTACTTTTAAGGCTAGGCTTAAAACTTTCCTTTTTGATAAAGCTTATAGTTAGGGTGGGTCAGGTTATTCTGAGCTATCTCTATAATTATGCTGCTATAGGCTTAGACTTTTGGAGGACATAGGGACCCCCATTTCATCATTCTGCTTCATTTTCCCTCTATTCTCCTATTCTGCAGAATCTGTTAGTTCAATCTCTTATGTTCTGCTCTCTCTGCTTTTCCTCAGAGTAGCTTTGCCTCGTCTGTTCCTGTTTGGCTGTGACATCATCCTGGAAAGAAACATCAGCTATGCTGCTTCCATCAACACCCTTGTTTATAGATGCTGGAGATCGGCCTGTTTTCCAGTGTGGTCCTGTTTCTCTGACCGTGACTGAGTGGATGTGCTGTCTTCGTCCTCTGACATGGGAGCTGGCTCGGAGCTCATCTGCCTGGCTGTGTGTTTCCTGGACGGGGCCGCCTTTTACAGCTGCTTTTTGCCTCAGCAGATGGCCGCTCACACTGAGCCTGGTTCTGCTGGAGGTTTCTTCCTGTTAAAAGGGAGTTTTTCCTCTCCACTGTCGCTACAAGCATGCTTAGTGTGAGGGATTGTATTTGAGTCAATGAGTCAATTGTATCAATTTGACTGTATGATCTGGTTGAACTGTAAAGTGCCTTGAGATGACATGTGTTGTGAATTTGGCGCTATATAAATAAACTGAATTGAATTGAATTGAAAAACACTCCACCACTTTTCTCAGTTAAAATATTTTTAGATGCGCTATTGACCTGATATTTTCACACAATGTTGGTAACAATCCATGCAATCCAGGCATACAAAGAAATCAAACCATAGATGACCAGAAATGATGTTATTTGTAAGAAAGTGAAACGGCAGGCGAAATGTACTGAAATGTATTTCATACTTTGTACAAAAGCCTTTGTTGGCAATGACAGCTTCATGGAGAAATGCGTTGCATGCATTGCTCAGGTGTGATTTTCGCACATTCTTCCACACAGTCTTCAAATCTAGAAGGTTTCAATGGCCTCTTCTATGAACGCTGATCTTTAGTTCTTTCCATAGATTTTCTATTGGATTCATGTCAGGTGATTGACTGGGCCTTTCTAGCAGCTATATATTTTATCTCTGGAAACAATTGTGAGTTTCCTTGGCTGTGTGTTTGGCTGTGTAATTGTCTTGCTTAAATGTCCACCCATGTTTCATCTTCATCATCCTGGTAGATGGCAGCAGATTTTTATCAAGATTGTCTTTGTACACTTTTCCATTCATCCTTCCTTCAATTATTTAAAATTTGCCAGTAGCATATGCTCAAAAACAGCCCCACGCCATGATATTCCCACCACCCAACTTCACTATTGGTATGATGTTTATGGGGTGATGTGCAGTGCCATTTGACCTCCAAACATGATGTGTATTATGACATCCAATAATTTAATTTTGGTCTCATCTGACCAGATTATATTCTCCCAGTATTTTACAGGCTTTTCTTTTTCTTCAGCAGTGGAGTGGTGCGCGTGCATACAGGCCATGGCGGTTTAGTGCATTACTTCTTGTTTTGTTTGAATCAATTGCACCTGATAATTCCAAGTCTTTCTGAAGCTCTCCGCAAGTAATATTTTGCTCTTGGACAACTCTTATATAATTATTTTCAGTCCTCTGTCAGAAATCTTGCGAGGAACACCTGGTCTTGATCAGTTTATGGTGAAATTATGTTTTTTCCACTTCCAGACTACCGCCCCAACAGCACTCAATGGAACATTCATTTGTATAGAAATCCTTCTGCCACCAATTCCATCATTATGATTTGCAACAGTAAGGTTATGATGGGGTTAAAAAATCTCTTTACTTTTACCCATCATGAGATGTTTCTTGTGTGATACCAAAGATACCTTTTTATAGTCCGTCATTTGGGACTGAACCAGCTGATATTAATTTGCACTGAAAAGGGGCAGGATTGCTTTCTAATTACTGAGAAGATTTTTTTCTCCTCCCTTTCTTCACATGTTCAATACATTTTCCTTGTGCTATTCCACATTACTACACATATCTTAATTTCTGGACATCTATGGTTTGATTGCTCTGTATTTGTGGATTGCATGGGTTGTTAGTGACATCTGGTGACAATTAACTGTTCAAAAAATAACTAACCAATAATCATTGATATCAACTGATATGAAAGCCTTGCATTGACATTTTTCAGCCTTATCAAACAGCTCTAACTGTGACTGATTGTATGTGCTCTCTTCCACCCTTTTTGATTTGAAAACTGTCTCCGAGCTCATCCGATTAACTTTTTGGATCTTGACGGAGCCAACTATAGAGCTAATTTATATTACATTTTCTAATGTAGAAAGTATGCAAGGATCAGTGCTTCTATGTTCTTTTTCTACATCTGCCTCTGTCTGTCAGCCTGGATCTGCTGAATGAGCTGTGTGAGGAATTGCTGTAAAGTCAACAACGCTCGCCAATATCTACTGTTGCTACATGCTCATCCAGGTAGAGCGGATGCTGCAAAGTCAATAACTGGATACAATCAGCAGGGTTTCCTTAGATATAAAACCACCCAGTCTGTCTGTTCAACTTGATTATACTGTCTCTGTAAAATGTCTAAAGATGACATGCATTTTGGTGCTATATACGTGACTGAATTGAATTCATTTTGTTTGGCTGTCTACTTCTGAAAAGATTTACTGCTGAGTTTTATGTTTTTACTGTAGAAATAATAAAAAAACACATGGAAAGAATCTTAAAACTCTTCTTAGATTGATGGACAGCAGCAGTTGGTGAGATCATTGCTCATATCAATCTTGGCATAGTTTAAACACACACTTGTATGCTTCAGACCAGTACACAGGCAGAAGTTCTGCTTTTGTGCAGAACTTCTCGTTGCTGCTTTTCCTATGAAATACTACTGAAACAGCAAGGGTATTTATTTATTTTTTAAGATAAACTACACTTTGAGCTGTTTGTGTAATGCAGAAGAAGTTAGATTTACATAACCAAAAAAATCACTGATAATTATGTCTGGAATGAAAGCACTGAGTGTTTATTTCTTTGCTGTTGTTCTCGTGGCCCATTAGGGTCCCTAACACAAACCAGGCGTAAAAAAATATATAAAACAACTTCACATCTCTTCCAATAGATCAGTTTCTTATAAAGCTGATTTAAGGGAAGGAAATATACTTTTGTTTTCTGCAAACCCTTATTTTAACCCTTACTGATTCTCTCCATCTATTTTCAATAATAACTGGTTCATCACTGTAATTGCATCATCCGTGCATTTCTTTGTTTAAGAAACAAATGTCTTCCTCCTTCATAGGCCTGAAAGTGATCAATAGGTCCTCCAAATGCTGCTCAGCCTCTTCCTCATGTCTGGCGTCACATCTGCCTGTCTGCCATCTGCTCTGCAGCTACTTCAATAATAGCTTGCAGCTGCAAAGGAAGGAGGGAACAGTTAAGGGGACGAACTCAGAGGGGTGAGGGGGTGAAAGGAGGGCAGGCAGGAAAGAGAAAGAAGAGAGGAAGGAAGGAGGGGGCAGCGAAAGCAGAGCTGTGATGCAGACAGCGAATCACATGAGCAGGGATCTGTTTACAAACTGAGAGCTGCAGATGAGAAGTGGAGAAGAGAGACGAGGGAGGAGAGTAAATGTGAGAGGGAAACAGAGGAGGAGAGAGCTTGGATCAGAATTAAGATTGGTGCTGTTGTCTTCCTGTGTTACAAACCAAATGCTGTGTGTTCTGCATAGGGAGCAGAAAAGCAGATGGAGGTGTTGGGATCCGCTTTCCACAGGAGCACGAAGGGGACTGCCTTCTTCTCTCTGCCTTCACAGATAACAGGCTGAGCTGAAGGGAAATTCATCCATGTCTTTTTTCTTTGTCTCTCCACGGCAGGCTATTGAAGCCAGAGATAAGAAGAGTGACTCGAGAATCTAAGAGGAGAACACACAGGAGGAAGAAGAAAGGAGAGCAAATGCAACAGTGACTGTTCAGCCAGAGGTTAAATCCTAGAAGAGATCTGGAATTTATTTAATGTCTTCCTTCCCTCTTTGTCATCGAACATGAAGACACAAAGGATTACTCAGATGCTAGTATCAGATGCTTGAAAAGTCGATGGGAGTATAACGCTTTGTGTGGATAAATCTTCAACAGACAATAGAGCTCAGAAGAACATTTGGCTAATTAGTGGATATCTTGTTTTGTGTTATCTGAAGGCCTCTAAACTCTTTGCACATCGACACATTCTGTCTTCAACATAAACCGGAGTACAGGAAACCTGGTTTTAGTTTGCAGTTCTCGAGAACTTCTTCAAACAGTGCTTTCTGAGAAACTGTAGAGTAATAACATCAAACTTTTCTTCCAGGGAGTGTTTGTCACACATTTGCATGTTGGATGCATCCGGTTCAGTGGTGTTACGGTAAGTGTCTTAAAAACCATCAGTGGCACAGCCTTTCTTTCTGTTCAAACATGCTCAACACACGTGCCACACAAACAGCGGTCCTCTGCACTTTAAAGTTTGACAATGGGGAAGTTAGAAGAGCGAGGTTCAATGTAGTGAAAAAGCAAAATCAACAAGTCCAACCTTTTTGAGGTAACTTAGTCTGATCTCAGATTTAGATTTTGTTTTTGTATGAGCAGCTAAAAACTGCTTTGACAACAGGATAATTTCAAAGTTTACAAGGTTTATATATATAAAATCTTGTTTTGCGTTCAACACTGGTTTTATGGTAAGCAGGGTCGCAATTCCTTATCTTACTATGCCAAAAACTGAGTTACACTTCACCCCTTATTTTGTTTATGAAATACATAAATAAATATAAAAAGTTTTTAGCTTCTAGGACTTTTTTAGTACACCACAGAGCAGGATTTCTTTCTCTATGTTCTTTATGTTTTATGTTGGTGGTGTATAAATTAGAAGTATGTCAAATAAAGGTGAAAATCATAGACATTTTAAGATAAATCCTTTTCTAAATTAACCTATTTTCAATTAGGTTCAAAGGTGAAAAATAATAGTGTTGGACGAGACTCCAGTTTAGATTACTTTTAACTTAATGTAAAAGAAATGTTACACAAAAAAATCTGCAAAACCTGCAATATATGCTACTTTTGCATCATTGTTTTCCCTCCATTGTCTCTCAGGGTAATGGATTCAAATGTATATTTTCCATGGCAGAAAACATGATTAAAGCTGTGCATTTTGATTTTCTTTAACATAAGCCTTGCTTTTGCTTTTCCTCCAAAATATGCTAAATCCATTTGTTTTGCAGACACGGAAATGCGTTTGAGGTATTGTTTGAGGTTTTGCAGGCAGTACCAACCTTTTCTATGACAGATTTTCTATCATCCTATTTATTAAATTGTACGTTTGTAAGACAGCCATCCTTGAACCGGCATCTTAACATGGTGGACGGGTTTCAGTGCCTGGATGATCCCAGAAGCTATGTTGACTGGAGCTTAAATGCCCCTGGTAGTTTCCTAAGGCACACATCTCTGGGTGACAGGAAAGAAAGGTTCAAAACTCCCTTATGATGACAATAAAATACCTAAACTGTATGATTAGTGCTCCTTCAAGGGACATCGAACCACTGGGGGACTTCAACATCCATATGGGAGACCTGGAGGGTTGTGATTGAGAGGAAAGGACCCCCAAATTTGAACCCAAAGTTGTATTATTGGACTTCTGTGCCAGTCATGTACAGGCCTATGACGTCAATCAGTGCTATTGTCACCAGGACACCCTAGGTCAGAGGTCGATGATTGACTTTGTTGTCATATCTTCTGAACTTCGGCCACATGTCTAAGACAGTCGGATTAAGATAGGGGAGGAGCTGTCCACAGATCACCAGCTGGATACGCTGGAAGTTGAGGAATCTGGACAGATACAGCAGGCACAAGTGAGTAGTGAGGGTCTGCTGGTTCGTCTGGTGGAGCCATCGGTCAGGGATGTGTTCAATTACCATAACCAGTTTTTTGTGGTAAAGAGAGAGATATGCAAAATGGTAAAGCTCTTAATTTACTGGTCCTACCCTCACCTATGATCATAGACCGAAAGAGGGAGATCCTGGGTACAAGCAGCTGAAATCAGCTTTCTCCCTAGGGGGGCTAGGCATGCCCTTAGAGATAGGATGAGGAACTTGGTTACCTGGGAGAGACTTGGAATAGAGACTCTCCTCCTACATTGAGATTTGGAACAGTAAACCTAAAAATGTCTGTGAACAGGAAATATATATATATATATATATATATATATATATATTTTTCCAGCATTTTATTGTCATTACACAGTGTCACAAGTACAGAGCGATGAAATTCTGCATTTAACCCGTCCCCCTGGGGAGCAGTGGGCTGCCATTGTGCTGCACCCGGGACCCAGAGTGGCAGCCCGTGGGCGTGGGGCTTGAACTTAGAACCTCAGGATTCCAAGTGCAATGCCCTAACCACTAGGCCGCCACTCCCGAAAGCAGGCATTAATGTGAAGCTCAAGTGGTATTATGGTCTGTTTTAAAATGACCACATTCCAAAATGTTAAAGCATGTATAACATCAAACTGGTCTTTTAAGTTATCTGAAAACTGAGAAAAAGACATAAGTATGGCACCTAGGAATGCTATGGTAAATGCTGCATTTTGGGATCATCGCTGTCCTGAAAAATGTGCTAAAACAATTGTGGTTAAGCCCTTAATTTCACAAATCTTCTGAATTGTTATGCAGTCATAAGTAATTTACAAGCTCAGAACAAGCGCAGAACTAGCCGTAGGAGGCACAGCTGCTTGCACCTCTGATATTATTCATTCAGATATATCTTATTTACAGGTGATTAAAAATGAGTTACTTTTTTCAAGATTACTGTTTTAAATGCTATATTAGAAAAGTCTTGCTTGTTTTCCATTAGTATTTGCTAAAGCACAAATGAGTTTTTGTCAAGTCAACACAATTAGGGTCTTTTATCATTACAATGGCTTACTTCTTTAATGTGAGTGGGACTGTCACAGCAAGGTGGCCTGAAAAATATTGCTTTCCTAAAAGTCATGGCGACTTTGTTATATTTACAAACTGCAGCTGATCATACCCAGGGTGAGATCAGTTTTGCTCATGCATGACATGTTTGCTATGTAGAAATGGAGTAAAGTTGGTCTCCTCTTTGCTTTAAACGCAGGCAGTTTTCTGCACGATGAGGCTGCTGAGAGACACCTGTAAGTGCTTTGGAAGTGGTGGGAGCTCACAGTGGTACTCATTGAATTAAGTGCTGAGTAATTAGTGAATTTACATTTTGTCTCCAGAATCACCAAGAAACTCAAAAAATGTTCAACCCTTTTTCTAGTCTCTCTCTTTTTTTTTTTTTTGAAAAAAAAATATTGCAGGGGTCTAAAAAAGTCGTTAAGTTGCAACAGTGTCACTTAAACCACTAACCCATCAGTGTCTATCAGTCTTTGTTGTCAAATTATCCCCTAGAATCAGTCAGCCTTTGGCTCATTTGGAACCTCTGCTTAGTACAACCATTAAAAAAAGAGCTGATACCTAAAGGAACCAGCTATTTGAGTCAAACCAAGTAAGAAATGTTTAAAAAAATTCTCTTTTCTTTCAAAATTAACCTAGTTTTTCTCAGATTTAAAGTTACCAACTTAAGAGTTTTATAGATTAGATTTATCATTAAGTAATCTAGAATTCACTATGAAAGAATATGACAAAGTATTTAACATGCATGTTACATTAAATTCTACATTGGCACTGTTGTTTCCATCCAAAATGCAATCGTTTCACAGGTAAAGCACAACATAGAATTAATCTGTAGATTTAAATTTTTATTTTTTTTTTGTGGTCACTGAAATGTTTTGCAATGAGCGATCGGTCTACCTTTACAAAGACGTTAATTGTTTGACTTTGTTGACTTAAGGTTTCAATCTGTTATACTCAAAGTCATAAGATTTCAGCAATTTTTGGCTGCAATCTTTTCTTTGGTAAATTTATTTCTTACTGCCTTTTTAAAACAATAGTGTGTGAAATAACTACTCTTATTTTAATCATGAGATACAATTTGATCAAAACTTATACACATATCCTGTTGTACACACCCAAGTAAAAAGCTGACAAGCTGGTTTGGAACTGAAGTTACCAACAGCTATAATGCAACAAACTTATGCGCCAGGTTTTTTTTAGTTTGGTTTTTACAACTAAGCAACCACAACTATGTATTTTAGGGGAAGAATTTACCAGAAACAGCTGATATTTTGCAGGATCAGATCCACTCACAATGCTCAGGTTCAGGCTTGTCCATGCAGGCAGCATTTGCACAGTGGCCTACCTTTTGGTCGTTCACAATCAATGATTTACTAACAAAGCGCTAAGATTACAGTTGCCTCCTCTTTAACCTAAACCTCCTGCCAAACAGTCCTATCAACCCTCAGCATTGTACCTTTCTGTTGTGACCTTTGCATATTAAATCGGGATTTCTGAGCCAGAGACCATCTCCAGTGTAGAGTTGCTCTGTTTAACCTGTGCTCACCATGTTAGGGTGATGGGGGTTGGGAATCATAACTGATTCAGATGGCAAAAACAAAGCAAAGCGCTGATATGAGGTACATTTGAAATGAATATCTAAAATATTCCTACACATTCTAACTTTTGAGACCATATCCACAAAAAGAAACAGTTCATCTCAGATCAAGCAGGAAAAATATTTAACAAAATTGAATTGCCCTCAAGTTAACTTATGTAAAATTAATACCTGCACAAGTTTAGCTTTGCAAATTAATCTGCTGGTAACAGTTTACCTGCAGGCCTTAGGAGGTTTTGCATTATTGCATTTCTCATGGACGTAAAACACAACCCAAAAAGATAGCTATCGTTTATAAAACTTTTTCAAAGGAGCAAATCAATACGTAAAAAACAAACATAGTCTTGGTTGACAAACACAATGAGGGGTAGAGGCATGTTGGTAGACCAAGAAATTGACATCTACATGTCAGAAAACCCAAAGCAACATAGATAGAAAATTAAAAAGCGCAACAAAATAAATACAACACAGTTCGAAAGGAATAGTTGTCAGTGATTGTAAGTTACTAAGAAATTGTACAAAGAAAATTATCCAAAATTGATCATCATTGACACCAGAACCAAAAAAAAAAAAAACAGTGTTTAGTAGGCTGAAGAAAAAGTTCTCCTCTTCAGGACCAAAGTGCAGACAGACAGATGCTGAGCAGAGTTAGCTAAAAAAGATTAGAAATAATGGTGAAAAGATTAATTGAGTCATATTTCAATGTATGTATGTAGGTGTGTTTTGAGGCTTTAAAGTTGATGAGTTCATTAAAGATCAGAATGAATTAGCTAATTACCACACACTTTTATATATTTTCACACATGGTTATTTTTGTTCTTGGTGAGTTGTGCTTAAAAAATTGTGCTGCATGTTTTTTTTTTTTGCACTTCATACATTTTTTCCCCTTGAGGAATAATTATCCTGTTCAGATTTTAGGCCATCAGAAGCAGGGTGTGGGTTGGAAAGTTAGAATAACTGTGTGAATATTTTTTTTCATTTGGTTTTATTAGCATAAGCTCAAGGGGTGGCCTAGCGGGTAAGGCATAGAGCTTGGAATCCTGAGGATCTGGGTTTGAGACCCACTCCCACAAACTGCAAATCTGGGTCTCTGAGCAATACCCTTAACCCCCGATTGCTCAATGTCAGCCCACTGCTCCCAATGGGGATAGGTTAAATGCAGAGGAAAATTTCTCCAATGTGAGATCAAAAAAAGATAGATTATTTATTAAAACACTCTAACTTAATGCAAAAAGGTTTCAGCACCGACCACTGCTTATCCATGACATTTTCACAGCTAACAAATCTTCCTGCAGTCATTTCGATCATAAAAAGGAAATTGTTCCTTTGTGATTTGGTTCCCTACAAATCATCAAAGCCCATGAAGCAAATTCTCTTACATAAAAAATCACACTGGAAAAAAATGAATATCAACCACTCTGCTGGGATTTTAAATCTCTTTAAATGCATAACTTTTACCCATGTCTCCCCATTCCTAGGGTGTCTATGTAACTCTGGACTGCAGAACACTGCCTCCCATTGCAAGATGACAACTGAAAAACTCTTCAGCCTGCCACTAAACATCTACCTCATCATCCTGGGCACTGGCCTCTTCATCCTCATGCTTAGCCTCGTCTTCTGCTGCTACTTTTTCAGGTACAGATTTACAGAAGAGTCCGAGTTTTGGTGTTCTTTGAGCAAACAAAGTTAGGCTTTGCATTTCACTGTTTAATACAGCTGACAGCCTATATATCTTTTGCTATCAATAACTCTAAAATAAGGATGCATTATCTATTGCCTACTTTGGGCAAATGTTCCATATTGTACCAAAAAAGCTCCGTTTATTCATATATGTATTTCCATGTCATGGCTTTTTATGGCTGGTGTTTAAAGCTTGGAAATTGTCAGTATTGGTGGAAGTTAATTGAAGACCTAAATGTAGAGATGAGGTGACAGAGATGAGTTCTTGCAGATTTAATTTAAATTCTGATGGCAACAGAAGCAAATCCAAAACATAACAGAAAACCAAAAACCCAGGAGACGTCAGGGAGAAACAAACATGGGGAGCAAAGCAATGATAAGAAACCAGCACTCAGGAACTGCACAGCAAGAGTATACATTTGCGACAGAACAAAGACTGGGGTAATCAGAGCAACACAAAAAACATTACTGCATAAATACTACTAGAAAACAACTGCAATAACACAAAACGGAAAAGAAACAATAACCAGGAAAACACAGAATTACCTAAAATGCAAATGAAAACTAAAAAAGAAATTCAAACAGAACCCAAAAAGTTCTACAAAGGGCAGGATCATGACATAAATAAATAAATGATCCTATAATAATCCTATAATCCTATAATAATAATGCTAATATTCTGACACTTTCCTTAACACTTTCCTGACTCAGCTGCAGCCCAGCCGTGTTGAGGGAAATTACTTCACAGGTTGATACATGAATTTGACATTGTAAAAATTCCAGGACAGCTTGAAGTACTCGGCACCTCCAGCTGATTCACCTAGCTTGACAAGACTTGTCTGAGTAAAGAGATGTAACCTGGTTTGCACGGCAGGAATGCTTTAAGGTGAAACACTAGAAAGCACTGTGTGAGCTTAAAGGAGAGGGCAGATTGCATAATAAAAACTCTGAACCAGTCATGACTGAACACCTGAATCAAAACAGGCCAAAACATCAAATCGAAGAGTTTTGTTTTTCAAGAATCTGGTTTGAATCCATTTTCTTTCCGTCCTGCCTGTTGCCAATTTCCACTATGGATGCAGACTCCATCCATCCTACTTCCTGCTATTTCTCTCCTCTTTCTTATCTTCTTCTGGCCTTGCTCTTCCTTCCAGCTTCCTGTTAACTTCAACAATACTTTTTTACCAGGCTCTTCCTGTCTGTTTCACCTCCAACTATCAACCATATCTCTCTGTTTCTCTGCCTTCTGTAACGGCTCCGAAAGTTGGACCCAGAATTCAGGCAAGACAGACAGTGGAATAATTAAAATAGCGTTTATTCAAATAATGATGGAACAGATCTGCAATGGTAGTGGCTGCAGTGGCTAGGGTGTCTGAGGTATGTCTATCAGAGATTAGTGACTACAATAATCTGACGGAGGATGATTATGAACATGTGAGTCACTAACCTGGTTTGACAATTCAGTCCATGCCCAGAGAACGAGGATGACATGATGCAGCGGACGCTGCCAAAGAGTTGCAGATGCTGAAGCCTTGAAGGCTGCAGAGCTGACAGAGGATCAGATCCAAGCTGATGAAGAAAGGCAGGACAATCCACAGGGCAAAGTCAAGAGAAAGATCCAGGTTCAGTCCACAGAAGAATCCGACAGGAGTCCAAAGACAGGCCAGGCATACAGATCAGACATGAGCAGAATGGCTCAAAGGTCCAAATACAAAAACGGATCATCAGGCAATCAGAACACTATTAGAAACACTAGAGAACTCTCAAGACCAAAGACTCAAGAATAATCTGGCACTGATGGCTGGGACTAAGGAGTTTATATAGGAGCTGAAACAGGTGGATCAGATGAGGAGTGATGAGAAACAGGGTAGAGCTAGGCAGGTTAATGAAATGAGAAAGCAAGCCAGCCATCAGTGCCAACATCATGACACCTTTGTACTGTTTGTGGCTCTGTGAACTATTGAAACAGCGCTGTGATTTTGTTGTGTCTTTACAGACTGAGAAGACAAGGTGCGAGAGAGCACTATGGCTACAATGAGGTAACATGTTATTAGTGTTTATTAGGTATTAGTGTGAGGGATTGCATTCGAGTCAATGAGTCAATAGAATCAACTGGTTTTCCTTAGATAGAAAACTTTGAATCAATTTGACTGGATGATCTGGTGAACTGTAAATTGCATTGAGATGACATGTGTTGTGAATTGGCACTATATAAATACCGGTAAACCAAATTGAATTGCTCTAGCCATTTTGCCTGGTCTCTAAATACATATGTATTCCTTTACTTTTCTGTAAGGTAAACTAATGGGATTTACGTATTTGTCTTTTGTCATTTACAGGTGGTTTTGAAAGGGGCAGGAAAGAAACTGAGTCTTCTTGGTGTAAGTTAAGTTCCTGTTGCAAGCTAAAAATGTTAGTCCTCCAAGTTTCTGGGTTTCTTTTGTGTTTCTTTGTGTTTTCATTAATTTCTAGTCCATCTATGTTGAAAAAATAGCGATACCCTGTGCTGCTATATTAGCCTATTATTCCGTTTTTAATTCTTTGTGTATTCTTGTGTTCAGTTCTTTCCAACTTTTAATCCATTTCTGTTACATCTGTTTACTTTTTCCCATTGGTTTAATAGTCTAACATTTCAATTCAGTAAGGCTATATTAATAAGTACTCCTTCTTCAGTCATCCAGCTTATCCCCTGCTTCAGCTGCTCAACCTAATTCTCTGATTAACACACCCACATCCAATCTGATTTCTCAAACTTCCTCTGTAATGAAGTTCACTGTTACTCATTGTTCTTTTTTGGATCTTCTGTTACAATTTCTGTTGCTTTCTGTTTTGTTTTGCAGTTATATAACAATCATGTCTGCATTTCAGTCCTACTCCAAATCCAAATGGTTTAGAGGATTTTTAAATTCCACATATTAAGAAAGCCGAAAAAGAGTGAAAAATGACACTAAACTGTAAGCTATACAAGTAGATCGTCGCTCAGTGTGTACAAAAGAATTTTAGATTAGCAAAAACCACACATCTATACTTTTTTGTTATTTCTCAGGCTTATTTATGAGCAAATTCAGATAAGTAGCTAATTTCTTGTAGCTATTTCCTGACAAAGAGTAACACCCATCTCCCGACAAGTTCTCCATGTCTTTTACGTTTTAAAGAGTAGCAAAGAGAACTGCGAGCTGGTCAACAAAAATTCCCCTATTCAGCCTCTCTGCGACTAACTTTGTTTGACTGTCACCATTACAGGACTTGATGGATCACTAATTTAGCAGATAGATAGACTGTTCAACTAAAATTTTTTTTACTTTTTTATAGATATATTTTAGGCTTTTATTATTTCTGTTTATTGGGGATTAACGCTTCACTTTTTGTTCACTGAATTGTTTTCTTGTGTTTTCTCTTCTCAGCAAACATGTGCAGTATGTTTGGAAGAGTTTCGCTGCAGGGAAGAGCTTGGAGTGTGCCCATGTTCACATGCTTTTCACAAAAAGTGAGTTCTGTTGTAATGCTTGTTGACTGTTGTGGTTTTGTGACAACTTAAGACTGTTTAAAAGCCTGAAATACAGAGTTTTGCATGCCTAAATAATGTTAACTTGAAGATCTTTTTTAACTGCCCATTGCATACTAAACAAACCCCTAAAAAAGTCCACATTGCACTAAAAACCTGAATAAGTTCAGATTCATTCTAAATGTTTGTGGAGACAGATTAAATAAAAGTTTTTGAGCAAGTAAGTTTGAATATTTAAGTTTAAAGTACTTATATTTTTTACAGCATTTTCATCATGATGTAAAACATGTAAGTAACTTAGTTACACAGTAACTTTAAGGTAATCAGTTTCTACAAATGTTTTAGTATTATGAACTGTTTGCTTTTGCTATATTTTCATTGGCAAATTACATCAGATTTCTTGGACTATGCTGTCTAAACTTTACTTAATCTTTAGTAGCTTAGATTTGCATATCTCTTGCAGAAAGAGCTTTGATACTAATGCTCTTAATCTATTTTTTTATTGAGTTTTACACAAGCTTTTATGCTTCTTTTTTACAGATGTCTGCTAAAATGGTTAGAAATCCGGAGTGTGTGTCCAATGTGCAACAAGTCAGTTTGTCGAGTCCAAACTGAACCCCAACAAACAGCGGAGCAGCCACAGAGTCTCTCGGAGGTCTGATAAAGGAGCAATGATGGGAAATCTTCATTCAGCTGAACTGACTCACTCAGAGTTTTAATTAATTATTTCTCAAATGCAAATATTTCTTTAAGGTAAAGCTGCTCTTGCAGAGATTTTAAAGTGAATCTCATTAAGAGTAGAAGAACGTCCCAGGATAACCCCCCCCCCAAAAAAAAAAAAAGTTAGACATATGAGATGATACAAAGACATTTTAACAAAACTCTAAACTGAGTAAATTAGTCAAAGTATGACTGCCTCATAAGTCAGCAAGGGACCAATACTGCACCTGACTCATAGCCAACCTCAGTTTGTTCATTGCAATCTAATTTTTTTCTGATCAGGTTGATTGGTAACAAATTAACATCTCTGATTTTAAGCAAACTAAAGTTTCAGTGTCTCTAGAAAGGTTTCCTTAACCTAAAAATGACTGAGGTGCACCGAATAGACCCTATTATAAACTATGAACTTTGTTTGAGGAAGTACATGTCAACGTCAAGTTACAGGTATTTATAATATAAAGAACGCTTACATTCTCAGTACATGGGCTAATGCTAATACTAAGTGCCTTAAAGTCATATAAGCATAATTAAAATTATTTTGTATTTAAGTGCCAGCAAAGAGGTTAAAGCAACACTGTGTTTTTTTGTTTTTTTTATTAGCTTAAGTTGAATTATATCAAAGTATCTTTCAGGTCAATATACAGCACTTGGTGTATCAACAGTCTGTGTAACTTTAGAGCAGAGGTCTTCAACACGGGGGTCCTCGAATCCTAGGGGGTCGATAGAGGTACTGCATGGGGGTCGCCACACTTTCGATTGATTAGACTTTTTTTATATTCCCCCCTGCAATTTTTTCCACTAATTGAAATATCTTTGAATACACATTAACATGAATTCAACACACTGTAGTGGAGGAGGCAGAAGATGTCTTTCAGTCATCAATGCACACATTCAGCAACACACAGGAGCTCTTTCAAGCTGGGCACCGTTTCATTCACAACACCTGTAACATCAACAAGGAATCAGATTCACAAATACTTAAATAATTTCAGGGCGAAATTACTTTCGTTAAACCATCTGTAATAGAGTCACTATAGGACCAATTTGATATAACACAATTTCATACAATATATATAATTAGAGGTCCCCGCTCCATCTCGCCATCAGTTGCGGGGTCCTTGGCCTGGAAAACCCATGCTTTAGCGGATTCGATCCACCACTTAATGAGTCATGTGACCCAAAGAGCTGCTTTACATCAGTCAGAGCTCTGAAGAATGAGAACTAACTAAGCTGAAAGTTGTCGTTAGGCAACAGAACAGATATAACACTTACCATATCAGAGATATTTATGGTCCTCTGATGTAGGATTTATTCTGGAATGGTGAATGTGGTCTTATCTTTACCAGTTACTCCATGATTTCTCAGTCAGCTGGTTCAAAGTGGTCTGCTATCAGATTCCAAATCATCAAGTAACACTGTTCAGTTCTGTAACAGTACAGTGTTATTATGGGGATATTAAACCTGGACGTTGCAGGTTTAACCCCTAAACACTATAGAGTATTTGTTGATGGTTAGGACTGGGAGGGAAATATAAATTATTTGCTCTTTCGGGGTTAGTCTGGAAAATTTTATATGAATCTAACAGATAATGTAAAGATATATATGAAGGTTTTCTGCACGCTCAAATCTTTGCCAGATTTTATTTTCGTAATTTTGATTTAACAGTGGAAGCACGGATAAAAAAAATATTTTGTTTGCTTTGGAGTATTTTTGGTTTTTAGCACCTTAACAAAACCATATCCAGGTTGAGTAGTAGAATGGCTCTTTCCAATTCACCCAATTTAATTTTATCCCTCCAGGTTTTCCTTACTACACAATGATTTTATAGAAAGAAGACTTTGGCACATTTCCTAGGAAACCAAATACTGCCTGCAGATTACCTAAAAAAGCAAAGACTAATACACTGGGGTAAAGGCTAAGTAAATTAATGTCAAATCTTTGAAAGTCATATAAGGGTTTAATTCAGTGGGGTGGTTTAAAGCTGCTGTATGTATATAAATGATGGAAGACTGTTAAAGATAATTATAACTTGGCATAAGATACTAAATCTTATATGAAATTGTGTAAAAACTTTGTTATTATGATAGGAGCTGCTGTGCAACATTTGTTTTTTCTCTTAAACCATCAAAGGTAAAACCAGAACAGTATTAATCGGTTAATTCACAACAAAACCCAAATTCAATCCGGTTACCTTAAAACTCCTGTAGTAAATACAGATATACAGTATTCCATGTATTTAACAGAATGGGACTCATTGCAGGGTGGAGACTGAATATCCAAATGATCACTGAGTGTGAATGTCTGGGGTCTGCTGGATCTGATCTGTGCTGTCCCATGAATAAAAATCTTTTTTTTGTATCTCCAGTTCTGCCTCAGAGAAATATTTGCATGATAAATTTGCCACAGTCATGCCGCCTTTTGAAAACAAAGTGTGAACTTATTAGAATGAAGACTGTGATTCATAAGAAAGAGGTTAGGCCCACAGTCTCATGAAACTCTTCAAACTAAATGAAGGATACACAGATTGTCTTTAATGAAATCAAACCTTCCTTTTTTTTTCATTTCACAAAAAAAAATTATCAACCAACAAAAGGGTTGTGTGCCTTCTGTCGTTCACAGACCTATCCTGCAGTAAGGCTAAATTACATGATACACCAATAGCAAAGCAATGAGTGATTTGGAAAGGGCACTAGGATGAAACATGCTTGTTTAGCTGCAAATCATTGCTTAAGATTTAGCTAAAATAATAATATATATCTGGTAAGAGGGTAACATATACGTTTAAGGAGAAAGTTATCAATATTAAGTTTGAATTAATTATTTGAACCACTCTCTGATCAAAGTGGAATAGAATATCAATAATAGGTTTCAAAGCAAGAATTTGGCATCAAACTTTAAAGGTCTTCAAAAAATGTAGTGATTTATTTAGAATTTTGTAAAATTAGACGTTCAAGGTCAAATATATGCATAAAATAACTTACACTGAGAAAAAATAGGATGGCTCTATGTTTGTTTTGGCAAGGTCAATGCCTATTAGCTTTGGGCAAAGGAAAATGATTGACTGGTGGCTTCTTTTTGACATAAAATTAACTTGTTTCTCAATACTCATTGGATAAAAAATTTTAAATGGGGAAATCCAAAGGAGCACAGTAAAGGTTGAAGAATAATAATTAATAATTCAGCTTTTCTTTCTTTAAGAGCTATATTATTTTTACAGAATGGAGACCTTCTAATTTTGACTGGAACATAGATCAGATTTGAGGAAAATGAGCCAAAATATATATGAAAAAATGTGTCAGAAAAATGCTGGGATGGTCACCATGAAGCCTAAAAACTTAGAAAGCAATCTCTGTGCCATTAGGCTGAGCAACTCGAAATTAACTTTCTGACAAAAACGTGCGTCAAATATATATCTTTCAGAATGCTACACCACTCTTGCTACTACACTATATGGTTAAAGTGTAGCTGGCTTAGGAACATTTTTGTGGCTCTGTAAGTCTAAATGTGAGCCTGTGTAAATATTTTAGACCATGTCTGAAATGGTGCAAACCCACCTTAAATTCAAAATTCCTGTGAAAAGAATTGTATTGTTAAAAGTTAAAATAAGCTTTTAAATTAAAAAAAATGAGAACTCATTCCAATACATTAACGCCTATGTGACTTTTTAATAAAGATTAATACATTTTACAATTGTGGGGTTTCGGTAAAATCTAGGTTGTGTAAGTGATGATAAATCATGTAATCTATTTGTCAAACCTTTTTATGATACCTGGTAAAATAGGTAAAAATGTTATTTAATAATTGCGACAAAATCACTGCTTCTTGTTGTCTATATGGGGAGATAAAAAGGTTAAGGATAAAACGCTGGTGTCTTGTTGGTGAGATGTAAGCCTTGAACGTCATTATCAGTTTGTACAATGATGTATATAAACTACTGTGTAAATAAAAAAGCAACTTTTGTAATAAAAAAGCAAAAAAACACAATATTATAATTTTTTTTCATAATGTCATTTTGAAACGGTAAACTGTGCTGTTTTTTCCTAATGTGGATTATTTTGATGTGATGAATTAAACATTACACTGCCTCTGACTGATGTGTATGTTATGGTTTGGATGATAAAGAGATAAACTTATAAAAATTGTATTGGAGCTTAAATATAGAGGCAGAGGTGGAAAAATGGTAAACAAACCAGAAAGCAAATCAGAATTAATTAGTAGAAATTTAGAATGAGTGAAAGAAGGGCAGCTGAACAATGGAGACTAATTAATTAGACTAAAGCAGAAACAAAGAAACTCCTGAACACATCCAGCAATAAATCTAACAGGAAGCTAAACACAAAAGAAATACTTAGCCTAAGTTACAAAGTACCTACCAAATACCATTGTGCACATTTGCCGGTAAAACTTTAATGGTAATATCAACAACAAAATATGGCAAGATTGTTAAGACAATATAATAAACACATAAAGTAAAGACATAATAAACAGCATGGAAATAAAAGAAGTAAAAAGGAACCAAGAAACAAGACTGTGACACTAGAGACATTTATGTGATGCATACATCCATCTAAAATTACAATTTCTGTCTTAATTGGTATAAAAACTTTATCATCTTTCCCATCTCCTGGGGTTTCTCTACTTTTTGATTCTAAAATAACAAAATGTGTTATAAATAGTTGTTGGTCAGAATACTGAAGCATTGATAAAAATGTTTACCACGGGAAAAGATAAGCACACTTGTGACATTTTTAAAGTATGGAAGATGGAAAGGAGCAACCAGGTTTCCCTATTTGAAGAATGAGCTTTTATTGTTCATCATCATTTTGGGAAAAGTTATAGGACCAATTCCAAAGTGCATGAAGTTCATAATCGTACTGTGAGAAAGATTATTTATAATCCTTCCTTAAGGTGACAGCCTGGGAAATTCACAGCCTAGGAAATTCAATCCAAACGCTCAGAAAAAACACTCAAACTCATTTGTATGTTAAAAGCTCTAGAAATTCATTTGGGTTTAATTTGATTATCATTGAAAATAAAATAATTATTCGGTTCATATGTATCACCCCCATCTATTATGCAAACTCTACCCTTATATCTTTTTTT